ATCATCAATACATCATCAATACAGCATCAATACAGCATCAACACAGCATCATCAATACAGCATCAATACAGAATCAATACAACATCAATACAGCACCACCAATACAGCATCAATACAGCATCAATACGGCATCACCAATACAGCATCAATACAGCATTAATACAGCATCAACACAGCATCAATACAGCATCAACACAGCATCATCAATACAGCATCAATACAGAATCAATACAACATCAATACAGCATCAACACAGCATCAATACAGCATCAATACAGCATCACCAATACAGCATCAATACAGCACCACCAATACAGCATCAATACAGCATCAATACAGCATCAATACAGCATCAACACAGCATCAACACAGCATCAACACAGCATCATCAATACAGCATCAATACAGAATCAATGCAGCATCACCAATACAGCATCAATAATCATCAATACAGCATCAATGCAGCATCACCAATACATCAATACAGTATCATCAATACAGCGTTATCAGTACAGCATCATTAAGACATCATCATCACTACAGCACTATCAATACAGCGCTATTAATGCAGTTTTATCAGGACTCCATTAATAAGCATCATCAATACAGTATTGCTAATGCGACATCGCAATCAGCGTTATTAATGCGGCATCATTAGTGCAGCAGCATCAATGCAATATCGTTAATGCAGCGTTAATAGCCAGCATTGATACCGACTTCTTGGTCCATTATTACATCCATTAATTACACTCCAGTCATTGATTAACCCCACGCGGATTAGCCCGGGGCTGGCTGCGTGCTCCCAACGGGGTGATCATGGATTGGGAAGAGGCCAGTGGGGAATTCCCTCCCCATGGGATGACAAACGGGTGCAAGCAGAGGAGCGATGGGGCAGGTCAATGGGGAGCATCTCCTCATCCGACACCCCGAGTCCTTTGGGCTGCTCCAGCCATTCCCCACGCTGGGAATTGCCCCGAGGCCAGGGGCTTGTTGGCACCAGCTCGTTCTTGTGCTGGGTCTTGGAATTTCCCCTCCTGAATGCGAGTCCTCTCGTGCTGCTCTTCCTTTGGGAAGAGGCTGTGCCCAGGGAAAGGTCACAGCCCGAAGGAATTTGGGAGAACAGCTTGCTTTTGTGGATAAGTATGTGGCGTGGGAGGCTCCGCAGAGCAGGAATTCGGATGGACACGGGAAGAAAGGAGCTTTGAGGGGAAGAGCAGCCTTAGAACAAGTCGTGGCTCCCCCCTCCAAACGCCGAGGGGTTGGTGGGGGATCACGAGCTTTTTAGGGCCCACGGGAGCATCCTGGAGCAGCCCCGAGGACCGGGATGCGCCTCCGCGGCCACAGGGATGGCAGGAACCAGCCGTGACGCAGGTACCGAAGCACCATCCCCTTCCCAAGAGCTGCCTTGGATGCGATGGGACACGGGGATGTGCTTTGGATGTGGCTCTTTAAGGGTGCTGAGGTGGGAATGGGGCTGAGGGCACCATGTTGAGGAGGAGCAATAGTCCTCAGGGAAACCAGGGAAACCAGAGCAAGTTGGGAATGATGTTTCCCTTCCTGCCACCAACCAGACGAAGGGGAAATGCTGCTTTTCCCTTTGTCCTGGGAGTAGGATACCCAAAGTCATGGATTTCCTCCTGAATATCCTCACTACCAGCGGCTCTTCCCTTCCGCAGGCGAGGACCCGGCTGCTGCAGTGATGCTGTCGCAGCAGAGAGCAGGGGAAGGGACCAGTAAGCACCAGTCTTGTGTCAGGGACGTTGGTTTGGGGGTTGTGGTTGGGCTTAACGTGACGTGAGCAGCTCAAATGGGGTTAAAATAGCTCGGAAGGAGGGAGGGAGGAAGGTCAAAGCGTTTGCAGGGATGGAGCCCATCTGTTATGGATGGAGGGGATGGCCTGAGGTCAGGCATCTGTGGAGAGGAGGAGAGGACGAGGATGCACCCCCTGAACCGAGCCTGTGTCCCCCCCTCGTGCTTTGTGGCTGGATTTCGAGGTGTTGAGGCACCCATGGGGGGACACGAGCTGTGGGTGCCTCTTCCATGTGTTTTGTCCCCAGCTTTTAGCCTCAAGTGCATTAAGGATAAGAAGGTTCCCATTGGGGTCACCGTGGTCGTGGCCGCGCTGCTTCTGGCCATCATTGCGCTGGCGGGTGAGTGGCTGAGGGTGAGGATGGAGGTTCCATCACCACCATCTCCTCCCGCTGCCACCACTCACCAGCACGTGTTCTGCTCGTTCCCAGTGAAGAAGTTCCCCTCCTGCCCCGCCTGCCCCTCTCCCACCCATTCCAGCTGCCTGGAAAACGGGATCGGATACAAAGAGAAGTGCTTTTACTTCGTGGAGGATGAAGCAGAGTGGAACAGGAGCGAGACCTTCTGCCTGTCCCTCGGAGCCCATTTGGCCACCATCGACACATGGCAGGAGCTGGTAAATGGGGAACCCCTGTTGAACGGGAGCCGTTGGGAAGCACATTGGGGATCGCCCTGCGGGGCAGAGCCTGATGCTTGGTCTTCACCCCCTCCAGCGTTTCCTCTTGCGCTACGGGGGCTCCTTGCACTACTGGATCGGGCTCCGGAGGGAAGGATCCGCACCTTGGACCTGGTTCAATGGGTCCCTCTTCAACAACTCGTATGTTCTATCTCCTGCTGGAGACCAGAGCCAGGGGCTGGGATGGGGCAGGGCTTGAATGCAAGAACACACACACATATGTGTGTGTGTGTATGTGTATATAATATGTACATATAATATATATGTGTATTATATATAGACAATATATATACACACATATATACATGTGTATATGTACAGTACATGTAATTATACATATTTTTATATGCATCATGCGTATACATGCAAGAAGACACACATGTACAAAAAATATGTGTATATATCATATAAATACATATATACACACATATATACACATATAGATGTATATATTATATAGAAACAAT